CTTTGTTAGACGACTGATAATTATTGTGGCTAGTATTTTAGATGCTATATTAGTCAAACTAATCCCTCTAAGTTTATACGAATATTCGTCAAAATTAGAACGAATAGTTTGACAGTAATTGAGCGCCGAGTATTATCATTAAACGGGATGGTATGGAAGAACTATTTAACAATGCAAACAGCATTTTTGAAAACATTAAACTAACTAAGGAATTACAATCAGTTGACCACAAACTAGCATTTCTAGATTGTTTGGTTGAACGTCGACACAATAATAAGTTAAAAATAAATGTTTACAGAAAATCAACGCATTCCGAGAGATACTTGGATTTTAATTCAGCCCATTCACAGAGCACGAAAATTAATGTGGTAAAAAATCTAATGAACAGAAGTACTAAGATTGTTACAGATAAGGAAGACCAACGAACCGAATTAAGTAAAGTATTTTCTACTCTTAGGGATAACAACTACCCAAAAAGGTTTTTAAAAAAGATTATTAAAAATGAAAGAAAAACTAAACTAGAAAGTATGCGAAAAGAATGTAAGTACACCGTAGTCATACCTTACCGTAGTGAAACATCAGAAGAAATCAAACGGATTCTAAACAAACATGATATAAGAGTGTATTTTAGAGCAAATAACACATTAAGATCGACATTGGTGAAAGTTAAGGACAAGTTATCAAAGGAAGAACAACAGAACATTGTGTATGAGATTCACTGTCATGACTGTAATGCTACCTATGTTGGAGAAACATCCAGGCAATTAAATGTAAGATTGAAGGAACACAAACAATGCTTGAAAAATGTTCCAAATTCCTCGGTAGATTCAAAGAAACTTGAAAATAAGTCAGCGACAGCGTTACATGCGTTAGAAACAGGACAAAAGATTAATTTTGAAGGGACCAAAATACTTCAGAAAGGTTTTAACATCCACAAAGAAAGATTGACAGCAGAAGCTCTGCATATACGGGCGAACAAGAACAGCCTGAACCGAAAAGATGGTATTCAAATGGCAACTACCTGGCAAATTTCGTTTGACAAGTAAATTTGGAACCTATCTCTTGTTTAAACCTGTTTTTAATATCACATGCATCGTTATTATTATTGAAAGAACTGAATGAGTTTTTAAACAATACAATTTATGTTTTGACATGTACATCGATCTTTCATTATCAAGTTTTTCATCCTTGAACTTGAACTTTATTTATTCCTTCATATCAATCTCTCACACATACATACATACATACACAGTCAAACACATACGATTTGTTACTCAGTTAAGTATTTCCATGTAGTTGAATTGATCACATGATTTGTAGTCAACTGACTCATTTTATCCTATTTTACAAAAAATCAACACCGAAATATGATTGGTTTAACACAGTATAATCCTGATTGTTAAAAGCCATATATTTCTTTGATAATTTTGATTTTGATTATTACCCTGAAGAAGTCCAGACAAGTTAGCTGGACGAAACGTTGGAATTAGTTAAATTTCAATCGCTGAGAACATTTCAAATATAATTTTCACATATCATAATCCCTCTATGGTTATCACGGGATGATTTTCACCACTTCTTATATATTGGGATGATCAGTGATTGTGACCAGTTAGATTGGATTACGTCCAACTCACAGATTTTAGGTAAATATCAGTCAACCTAATCGCTAAAATTGGACCACCATCCCTAAAGACCTCTGGAGTCAATTCATCTGCGCCAGCTACTCCTCCCCGATCCAGATGGGATAAGTTTACGAGAATCCATCAGTGCAATAGACTTAGAAGAAATCCATTGATTTTTCATTACTCATTGGTTTAAATCACTAACAGATGACACTGCTGTTTCCACAACTGTTTGAATATCTTTCCAAGCAACATCTGGGTCAGCCTCGTTATCAGGACTACCTAAATGTGACCTCAGTTGTTTCTGGAATCTACTTTCGGCCACTCTGTTCAACTCTAATGGGTCTTCTTAATGGGGTTTTGCTGCGTCCAGTGAGGCTAATATTAGAATCTAAACATGTATTCTAGAACGATCGGCAGTCTCTTGTCGAGCCTCTCCAAAGATTACTGATGGTAATATGGTCTATTTGAGTCCATCATTGGTTTGTTGCAGTGGGTCGCCATGTTAGACGATGTCTCCTTATGCATAAAATCAGTGCTTGTTAGAAATAAACGACCGTCTGAACACAGTTGCAGCAGACGGTCAACATTATCTGTTCTCTGATCTGGAATACCAGAATACCCACCTAAATGTCTTTCTGCTTGGTTTAACCTACCTACTTGAGCATTAAAGTCGTCTGCTAGAAGTACTATGTTCGAGCATTTAGCTTTATGAAGAAGTTCAGAAAGCTTTCTGTAAAAGTCGCCTTTCATTTCATCCAGGTTGCGGTCAGTGGGAGCGTAGGCAGAAACGACGAAAAGGCAACGACGTGTGTCCCTATCCTTTTGAGTTCTTGCGGAACCGTTTAGTAAAACAACACATAGACGACTGTTAACGGAGATCCACCCTAATAGTGCTTGTTCCGCCCTCACGCTTAGTGCTATGCCCAGAACTGGCTGTCGGGTCACCAGATACACGGAGGGTGTATCTCGTTGGCTCTCCGTTTTGCGGAGGTGAGGTAAAGTGAATGACCACACTAGGATCCTGTGTACGTGTTTCAGAGACACAGTATATGCCAATGGTACGAGATTCTACGGTTCCAGCCAAGGATGGGTGCTGGCCGATTTGACATCGCGTGTGTATGTTGAAGGTTCCAGTGTGTGGTTTGGAGCGAGGTTTCAGTATACCTTGGACAGTGTTTTGAGCACTGGAATCGTTCGCTATGGTGACACTTGAGGGGGAAGCCGAAAGAGGAAGTTTGGCGTTGAAAATCGATGGAGGAGGAATAATAGGAATTGAAGAGGGAGGTTGATTATGAATATAGTGGTCTTGAGTGCTGTTAGAGGTACGAGGGTGGTCTTTAATTCCCGGTTGCCCACACCGTGGAAGGGTTCCTTTAGAGGTCCCCAAAGAGGAAGCTGGGTTAGAGGTGGTCTGGACATTGAGGAACGATTCTACCGGCCAGTGTAACTCGATTGGCTCATCACGACAAGCACGCTCAAACACCACGTCAATGTCACAGCAATGGTAGGATGTGGTTGGTTCAAACCCACTTTTATCTGAAGCTATATGTAGAATTAATGAATCGTCCATCAAGACTATGTCTTGGTAAATGCATATAAAATTGCAGCAGTGCCAGAGGATCAACAAACTGAAGGTTCTGTAGATGAAGCTCTGAGTCCAGAATTAAATGGCCCTCCCACTCTAGCAGAAAATGCCAGCCAGCAGATTATTGCTGGTCATTATAGAAGCTGAACACTTGGTGATGAATTTTGTGAGCTGAATGTTGATGTGTTCTGCTAAATGAATGCTGGATCACTACATTCTTACCGCCACTAATGACTCCAAACCAAGACCACTAGGTTGCTTGAACACAAGAGGAAGGGCATGAAGTGCAACTAAAAGACTGTTTGTAAAGTTTTATTTGATCAATAACATAAATTGAAGTGGTTCAGGAAGTAATCTTTTCGCATATGATTTATTTCAGTAGTTGAAATCTTGATATAAACAGCCCACCAAGACAGAAAGGGCATAGCAAATATTTAGCGACCTGCGAAGTACGAAGGGGTTAAGAGGTTACGATTTCACAGTCCTTTTTAGTAAAACGTCACTAATACATTTTAATATTAAACTAAGCTTAGGTGACATTGCTTTAGTACATAACTCGACTGAATTCTTATAAAAATCTATAAAAAGCATCTTGTGGCCAAATGGTTTAAATAGTTGTCGACTGAATAAAAAAAGCTCTTGCTTAACGATCTCCCATGTCTACTAGCAGTGGAGCAAATAGGCAAAGTGTGGGATTCCTTACCAAAGCAATAGAAACGACATCTTCTGAAGAGTCTTTTAAAGAATGCCTGAAGTTTACTCTAGTTCTAAAGATTTTGACGGTGTTAGTCCATGACCACTTCCGCTACTGATAGCCAATTTTTCTTTTCATCATAGTAAGAGTTAGTCTTCAGTTTTCAGTAATGATGACAAGAGATTTATCAGCCTGTCAATCCTTTTCAATTTGTAGCACTGTAGAGGTTCAATCTAGCTTTGAATGTATCAAAAGAAGTTGATGATATTACGTGTTCTCGTAGATAATTTTAGCAATTCATTACTCGGTGCGAGGAAAGGAACTCCAAAAGTGAAGGACTTGGTTTCAGTTTTTGAGCTGTTTTAGGATGTTCTCTCAGATGACCAGTCCTAGATGGAAGGGAAAGATATGAAATACTAGTACCAAAATCACCGTTCAGTATACGATCAGCCATTATTAGATTACCATGTAACCTGGGATTAGATTAAGGAACTAATACTTCAAGGCATCGGTGATCCACTGTTACTTGATATGGAAGCTCTAAAGATGCCACAGGTATTTGGAGTTTGACAACGCTTTAACCAGTAACGCCTACTATGAATCGTATCCACAAAGTGAAATCAAAAGACAGAAGCGAGGATGTTCGAAGATATATTTGATAGGCTATCAATATATCGAGGATCGACTGATCCAGATTGGCTAGCGATTGCAGGGGATGTTGAGCACGGCGTTCCTACCCGGATGCATGACCGAACGCCTTCAGCTAGGTGAGTCCATCAAAACTAATGTGGTCAGCATCCAATGTCAAAGATTTACAGAGCTATTTATTTTGGGGATTTATTTACCGCTATAGCTCGTTAAGCAAACGCTTATTTTATGCCGTCCAAAACCTTTGAACCATTTGGATTTATTGCTCATCATTTGTACATAAAATCCTACTATTACCAAGGTATCTTTTCTACTGTTCATAATCAGGTTCTAGGAGACATTTGGCTGACTACTTCTGTTCAGCAAGGTTCAAAGTTTGGGGTTTGATGACATTCGCTTTCAATGACTACGGCAAGTATTTTAAATATTTTCGTCACAAGTGGTCATGGGGAAGAAAATAAAAACAGGGAAAGCGAGGAAGGATAAGTTTTATTTTCTTGCAAAGGAAACTGGTATGATAAACTCAAGATTACTCATTTTCATATTAGGATTCCGATCTAGAGCAGCGTTTAAGTTGATCCAGTTAAATCGTCGCTTCAAGTTTCTAAATTCCTCCAAAGTTCTAATAGACTTATGTGCTGCTCCTGGAGGCTGGTTGCAAGTTGCAGCCAAGGAAATGCCAATGACCAGCCACATTTTAGGAGTAGACTTGGTGCCTATTCACCCTATTCCAAAAGTTAAGACATTTATTGCCGATATAACAACTGATAAATGCAAGCAGGTTTGAGAACATTATTTTAATTTTCTCGTACTAGATTCTGCGAAACGAGTTAAACGATTTAAAGGCTGATGTCGTCTTACACGATGGTGCTCCGAATGTGGGGGCTGCCTGGTCAATCGATGAATATGGCCAAGGTTAGTTTTTGCTATAAAATATTCTCGTTAGCTGTACTTTCGCTCAATTCATTTGCGATTGCAACTGAGTTCTTACGCAGAGGTGGCTGGTTTGTCACTAAGGTTTTTAGGAGTCGAGATTATGAACCGCTTAAGTGGGTTCTATCTCAGTTTTTCCGGACTGTACGTGCTATTAAACCTGAAGCCTCTCGACTCGAATCTGCAGAAATCTTTCTTGTTGGACAGAATTATATCGCTCCTGCACGTATCGATCCCAAGTTCTTGGATGCACGACATGTGTTTGGGGAGGTTGATGCACCAAAAGATCGCGCTGCGTTGGTTTCCACTTTTTTGAAGGAAAGCCGCAAAAAGTAGGCCCACTTTCTCATTTATTTGATTTTGAAGGAAAGCTGAAGGTTATGATGAGGGAGACACATTGTATCATGAGCTCCCACTTTCTAAATTTTTGGAGTCAAGTGATCCTCTGGAGGCTCTTGCGAAAACTAACAAGGTACTCAGTTTGACTGTTAGTGACTTGTAGGTTATTTTTGATGTTCCGGAAATTGCATGCCACCCATTAACTACTGCTTTGATCAAGGAAGACTTTAATGATATTCAAGTCCTTGGGAAGAGCGATATTAAGTAAGTTTACTTTTCGCACTGTTTCATTTCGTAAGGTGTTTTGGACTTGGATTGTTTTAAAAGATTCCTCATAGTCTGTATGAATATTAAATTATAAAGCACTGTGTTTTGTGAATTATTTAGTTCTCGCAAGTTAATTTTTATCCCGATGCAGTTGTTTAACAGCATATACTTTATTTTCTTCCAATAGTAGCGATGATTGCAAAAACACAAACTGTATGAATTCCCTTTGTAGTTCACTTAGCCTGTATCTGCCAAAATTTTTAATGGCTTTGGCCAAAACTGTGGTTATCAGTATAGTGCAAGCCTCTGAATGGAGTTACTTGCTTTTTGAAATACTCGTTCATCACTCAATGGGGATTTGACCAGATTCCTGAAATTTTTTAAAATAGATATGGTAAAATCACTTCTTTACTCGTATAATCTATTCGGGCTAATGCTATTGTACCACGCAGTAGCAAGACAGAAAAGAAATTACAAGTCTACACCCCAACTTCTAAGTCTACACTTAATTTTGGGACGGGTGTATGACCACTACAATTGGGCTTAATATTAAGACCAGAACAAGCAAATTTATTCTCTTTTCACCTTCACAGACATCTCATTCAAAACGAATTGAATTAAAATCTTTGTCATAATCTATCTACGTAAAGATGGATGTATAGTAATTTAATCTTATTACTCATAAACCCGTTTATAATTTTGATATTTTGCTTTCTAGAAATCTTCTCAAATGGAGGATGAAAATTCTCAGTATCTTTAAAGCTGAATCAAAAGAGTAAGTCAACACTTATGCCTCATCTTTATTTCTTAGCGTACTTAAATTTTTAGAATTCAGCAAATAGATTTGATGTTAAGAAAGTGGTGGTTGTATACTAAGGTTGTATAAAGATAGGGATTGTTTTGTATATGTTATGTTCGTTTACTCGACTTATATGACACTGAAGTTAATGATCTTTCCTAGTTTAGTATTTTCATCCGAAAAACATCGATTAAAGTACGCTTTTTTGGTGGGTTAGTTTTCACATCAATTCTATACTGAAATTGTACGTAAATCAGCCTTAAAACAACAGTTAGCTGGAAACCATATACGGCAAAGAATCTCTGGACTGCATTTCGTAAACCTTAACTGCGCAAGTATAATACCCTTAATGTTTTAATTGAGTCAGTTGTAAGGTATTTGCAGTTTTCTTGAAAAGTAAAGTAATTTGGATGCCAGTAATCAATAAAGGCTTATCGCTTGTGTCAAACAATCATTATCTTTATTCCAAACCGTAAAATGCTTGCTCTGTAGATGTTCTTTATGTTCTCAGGTCCAAAGACAGTATTGAAGAATCTACTCTTCCTAAAAGGGGTACTGATGAAGATGAAGAGGATTTGGAAGTCGAGACACAAGTTCAAAGGTTGTTGGACGAGGAAGAAAAACTAAAGAAAAAGTAACTCACAACTTCATACGTCTTAACTATTTTGGAAACACATTTTGAGATATCTGAATAATTACTATCATTTTTAAAGCAACATTAAGTTCCCAACTGGTATCAAATATTTCTCTAGGAATTGCTTATGTAATGAGTAATTTCCATGTTATTACTTAGATGTTTTAAAGTGTAAGTGATCGGCGTCCTACTGCTTTCTAACATAGATCTGATAAGGCTGTTATTTATGCGATTCGGATATTTTATTAGTTAATTTATATCATAAAAACATACCATAAGGCACCAAGAAGTATTCAGTAAGAATGTAGGAGAAACCATGTATTTTTTGTCAGTTTTCATATGTTTGCGTTGACTGATTTGATCACTCATTAATACTTCAACAGGGGTTATTCCCAAACTGTGTGGAGTTTAAGCTAGACAATAAACATATATATTCAAAACTTAAACGTAGACTATAGCTATTGAATATGTAACCAGACTTAGGTAAATGACAAATATGTAAGCTAAACACAGCAAATGGAAGCGGTGATAGAGTGTGATGGCTTATCGGTTAAAAAACTTAAATTTTAGCTATGGAATTACAGGTTTGGACTGTGATCCATCTTCTTTGGTTTGAGCAGGCACATAGGATCACTTCGTATTTAAATTGTGGTTCATTACTGAGTAAATAACTGTACTTGGCGAATACAGCAGTGAATTATTTGTATAACACTAAGTTTGTCGTAATGGAGTCAAGTCGGTCAACTTTTATATATCTTTTCTTTCTAAAAAAGTCCATTAGTCTAAGCACCTTTTTAACGTCATTTTAGGCTTTTAGTTGTGAGTGAAATGCCCTTCATCAGTGCTGTGTTACAAATTTGATTAGTGTTTGATGTTTTTATTCGCAACAACGAAGTTGTTTGTTCATTGATATTTTACATCGTTATTTCATAACGTTGTTGCTTAATCTCACTTCAAATTTTAGATTTTATATATTTGAAATGAACAATCACACTTCGTCAATTTTCAGTTTAAACTATGATGAACTATTGATTCACTTATTATTTTACGTTCCCACTTTCTATATTATAATTAGAAAAATGAAAAAGGTTAGAAAAGAGAAACGAAAACTTGCAGAACGCTATGTACTAAAAATGTCACACGAATCTGACTATATTGAACAAAATGATGACGAGTTGTTTTCCTTAGCTGCTGTAAAGGATTTAGTTGGTTTAGAAGAGTCTAACAAATTGTCAGGGGACACTAGTAACACTGGTGTAGATGATTTAGCACGTGAACAAATCGATGCTGCTTTGAAAGCCAAACGTAAACGTTTAGCTGATGAATGGTGTTCAGCAGTAGAAGGGAAAAAACGTGTTCATTTTGAGAGGCGTTCTGGCAATCAATCTGATGAACATTTGTCTGACAGTGAACTGTTTGGTGAAATTTATGGTGAGCTTACTACTTGGTATATTAGAAATTGAATTTCTTCCCCACAAGTTTGTGTTAGATAGTAAAATATAAAACATGTCAACTTTTGTTGCAAATCTTATGTTTGGTTATGTTTCTAACAATTTTGTTAGCTAGGTGAACATTGGATTTTGTATTTGAATACAAAAATCAATTTATTCTACTTGTAGGTTAACTGAATTCTTATACTATGTGCTTTTGACATTTTAATAAGATCTCTCACATGTTTTGAATATCTGTCACCGATTTTGTTCCGTAATTCTTTTCCACCAAATCTGTTTCATTCATGTATATTTATTTAAACACAACTATTAGTACAAGGAGGCACCAAATGCATATGTACCACACTTCACCATTCGATCCGTGTAAGGGCTTGGATTCTACCCGGGCGCCCAAACCGAAGCAGGTAGTTTTCTTAGAGAGCCAATCTCCGGGCCTTTGACATGGATGTTTAATCCACAAGTAGAGCAACGTTAGGAGATGCAGCCCTATAGTAGCCAATGACCAACATTAGGTTCATATGCTATTTGTCCGCTCAGGATCCTGGAGTCCATGTGCACCATTGGTTTGGAATCAGAGTTTTCCAACTCTCCTAGGTGGGTTTTCCGTATCCACCAATCTAGTTAAGGCGCTGGATATTCACTTTTTGTTCTCTCAATGTCGTAAACAGTACCCTCGCCCCAAGAAGACAGTGAGTAGGAATTCCCTGATAGTCATCAAGGCTCTCGGCTCCTAGTTACTAAGTTGCAGTGTAAAACTCCTTACGTATCTCAATATGAAAAACTGTTTAGTATCATCAACCCTCATACTTAGAGTGCAGCTCGAAACCAAGTACACAGATGTGTGCCTGGTTAACGATTTAGTCTAAATCCAAACAACTGCCAATTCGTCCGAATCGCGTGCATAGTAACTCTGCCGATGCTACATACTCGTGCCAGTTTTGTATGAGATTTTCTTTAACATAGATTGTTTCATCATTTAATTCCACTTGAACTTTTGAGTGCTCTTATAATCTCCTTCTTATGGTTATGACCCAGCTATTCCTGTTGCTTAGTATTCTCGGACACCGATTCACTCGACAGGTCCCCAAATCAGAACACGGTTGAACAGGAAAAAGATTATATTCCATATAACAAGGTTAGATGGAAGTAAGAAGCAAGTAAGAAGGACAATAGGGAAAACGTCAGTATATTTATAGTTTTTACATGAGAAGATTCCAGAGTATTCTCCAACTATCGACTAGTGCTGATCGGATAAGAATTAGGCAATCAGCGTGCATCAAAGCAATCGTGCATTGAGCATGCTTTAATCCAGTCTATGTTCTACTAACAAGTGCTATAAATAGATTGAGTTTCATCAGTGAATTAGATGTTTGATTGTACCATAGTTTAGAGACCGTTTACAGATTTGTACATCATAACTACATGTCCCAAAATTACTGGATTCCAAACTATATAAAATCTTCAGTGTTTCATACGAGCTTATATAAATATAGAATTGCTTCTTTTAAAAAATAAGTAAGCCAACTCATAAGACTCGTATAATAAGTCATCGGCTTGTTCGGATCTCAAATATAGTTATATCCAATTAGTTCATAGATGTATTTCGTCTATGCAACATTGGCGCAACTGTGTTGTTTTGTCTCAAATAGGTTACTTATGTTAAGCACTTTGCTTCCAATTGAACAGACCACTGCGATTGGAAATATGAAACCTTTATATATTTTGCTTCATGGTTGTAGCCCATAACCAACGTGATGATTTGTATCTGAGTTCTGAAGAAAGCAGTGAAGGTGAGTCGGGTAAAGAAAATCGTGAAGATCGAAAATCAACCTTAAGTTCCGAAGAAGAATCCTCAGAAATCGATGAGGATTCAAATAGTACCAGTTTATCGAATTCGCCTTCTTTAAAATCCTATTCGAATGACAGGAGGGTTAAATCCAAACGAAAAATGATCCTACCACCTGGATTAGCATTATCTACTTCTGAACAAGGTAAAAGGAACCCTTTGCTCGTAGATTTGGACGATTCTGAAGAAATTGTCAAGAAAAAACGCAAAATAGAGTCATGGTTTGGTTCGGATGAAATTCAAGTGAGAATTGTCTTGATTATTGTTTCATCTTTAATAGATTTAGCAGATATTCAGTTATTGACTTTTCATACATTTATTATACAATTGATACATAATTTAGGGTTTGCTACAAAATTTCTATACTGAGTACGCATCACAATGATCCAAGTGCCTTATGACTGCAATCTAAAACGAGTCTTACAGTTACATACTTCATAAATAACTGGTGTGACTGTTTAATTCTTGCTTATTGTATCATTCAAAAATTTTGGTTTCTGATTTGTGTCAATTTATGTAGGTTAAATATTTATGGTATCTTCAGGAATACATATTACATGTTCTTAGGTTAGCTACTACAACTTAGAATTTGGTTATCAGAACTGTTTCGAAAAGCGTGATTTAAAAGAGCATGATTAATTAACTATGCCTAGGTTGGTCTATTTCCATTTGATTCATCCGTGTTGTATGAAGAATGGTAAAGCTTCCTCGCTGGACTACGGTAGGTTGGTTTTGGAATCTCGAACGTAGTAGTTGAAAGTTTAGTGCTTTAATTACTAAAGTGCTGCTTTTTCAAATGGAGAAAGTAAAGTTATATAACTTCCTGCAAGTTACCTAAACATGGTCAGTCATTTGATTGCTGAATGTTTACGCTTGAAATATCACTAAGGCATTAAAATAGTCATTGATAACCTGCATCATGGAGAACCGTTTCTACTCTTAAATTATATTTGAAGTAGTGTTTATTTTAGTTTACTATTCTCAAAGAACCAGCTAGTAATTTCCCATACGATATCTATTAACATTTGAGCTTTTTAAACGACATTATTAATGCTTCAACTTCTGTCTTTTCTCCTTTACTTCTTTTTATTCATCTATTTTTTTTAAAATAATCATTTTGCACTTTTATATATATATATATATATATATATATATATATATATATATATAATTTCAGGAAATACTTGCTCCATTGGAAAAAGAAGACGAGAATATTTCGACGGTCACTTCAACTAAAAAGTCTAAGTCTGAGTATGCATCAGATACTGTGATAAAGAAAGAGAAACGCGAAAAGAAAGCGGTTAATGATGAAACTATCGGTTTACAAGATAACTGTGTGTCACCATCTTCAGAAATTTCGATACCTAAAGTTTCATGTGAGTAGATGTTAACGTCTTTTCTTTTATCTAGCAACTAGAATGATTCTCATATGCACTATTAAATGCCTTCGTTTACTTTATACATGAATCAGCTGGTTTATTTCACCACTTGATAATATACATCAGATTTATCCATTAATTGTTCAGTTATTTAAACTTGATAGCCGTCAACTTGCATCTGTGTTATTCACAGTGGTTACGAGTCAACCGTTTGCTATTTTCTTCTATAAGGGTTGCTAGTGACTCTGTTCTGGACTGGAGGTCAGTAATTTGAAACATCTAGTGTAAATCAGAATTAACGTTACAAACTATCACTTAGTTTTTCTCTTATATTCCGTATAATAAGTAGAATGTTTCCCAAGACGAAAAGCTTTTTTGAGTTGGATTGCTTGATTTTCATACTTTGATTCATAGTTGTTCCGTTTTATGGAGTATGAACCTTTTGACGCGTTGTTTATGCGAAGCTTTTTCACAATATAAAGACAAACGTTGACTTCGTTGGATTTGAGAAATACTAGTATTTTGTGCAAACAGTTAAATTGAGGTAAAACACGCGACAATCGTGTCTTGATTGAAGTTACCACATTTTCAACTAATGTAATTAACACATTACAAATAGATGTTGAGAATTGGAAATTTAGAAGAAAAAATTCGACTGAAATAATAACAACTTAATTTGATGACCACATTTTTCTTTTTTTCTCAATCTTAATGAAGAAAAGAAGTCAACATAACATGGATTCATAACCTCACTGCAAACTCTTTTCATTTTTCTTCAATTTTAATAAATATTAGCTGAAAAACTTGAGAAACCATTACACCGTATACGACGTCTCAATCGCCCATTAACTGCAGAAGAGCGTGCCATAGCCACTCGTCTTATTCAGTCTGCAAAATCTAGACGTGAACTACTTGAATCAGGATATAATCGTTATCAATTCTTTGAAAAGTCCTCTGATTTGCCCGATTGGTTTATTGAAGATGAAAAGAAACATATGAGAAAACCGATAATGGTTAAAAAAGTAATCTGTTTGTAGTTAATATCTTTTTTAGTATGAGAGACCTAGTCGGTCTAGTACGTTTGAGCTTGATTTATGGGATTTTTATTAACTTATTTTGCTTCTGTCACGTCTTTATTAAAAGCTAGGTGGGAAAATGAAATATTTATGTATGAAATGTTTGAACTCAAATATTGTTTTTGACAGTTTGTATATAACATTTATTTTCATGACGAGAAAAGGTTGAAGTTTCGTTCCCTTTGTCAGAACATGAACGAATCACTCAGTAAATAACCATGTGATTTAATAAATGACAATTCTTCTATAATGAGATGAGAATATACTTCTCTTACAATATAGATGGACAGAATATTAAGTCTCATTAAAATTAAATGGTGTTGTCATTAAGTATGATCTCACACGGTTATCTCAATGAATACATGACAATCGAAGAAAAATTTCTGATTTGTACTTCTAAAGCTTTGCAGCTCATAGATTCTCGAATAGGGATTAAGTTATGTTCCCCCGCTTTATGATCCCTTAATATCATAGTGCTATGTTTGAAGAGATTACGAGTTCACCTAATCTGAGAACGGAACGAACACTCAGTGACACAATGATCAATAAGCTAGCTATTCCGCTAACTAGAGAGAACCCCAAGTTCAGAAGAGGGAAATATGTTCTACATGCAGCCAGAAGCACGAACAACCACAATAAGCACAACTCAAGCGTATATATGCAACATAAAAATGTCCTTGGGAAACGTTACAAAATAGCATACTGTAAAAGACAAAGAAACAATATCATTTAGGATCCTCCCAAGTGGGAAATAGGACATGAAGGTTACAATGGGTGCTTTTGGTGCGAAAACAAGGAATTCAAATTTTTAAAATAGAATTACAAAAATAAGGCATTTACCAAATGAGCTCTGGGGATCTAGCATCCCCAACACCTCCCCTCTTAGTAACGTACGTTCATGGGGTCCACTTGCATCTTGACCGTCTGTCGCCGTTGTCGCAGTGACCACCTGCTGGACGGTAGACCGGCTTGTCGTTGTGCTTCTTCCTGTGTTGGGACTACGGGCAGACTAGAGGTATCCAACAGGATGTCCAGAGGAATATTCCCGTCTGTCGATGGGCGAGCTGGAGCTAGCCGCTTACGTAGCTGGTTTCGGTGTCGAGTCCTCCTGTCTCTTCCCACCTCTACCTCGTGCATGACATGACCTAGTTTTCCGGCCACATGTGCTTCTGTCCAGGGACCATGATTTGGTCTGTAGTCCCGAGCGAACATCGGACATCCAACCTCGTGTGTTAGTAGCTTCTGGGACCTGGTCTGTGATGGTGTGGTTCTCGGAAGCATCATATTGTGTATCGTCCTCAACTTTCTTCCCATGAGGATCTCTGCCGGGGATTTCTATTCTGATAGCATACACTAGGTGTCGTTCAGTAAACGAATAGGAAGTTCTACAATGTTTCCGCTGGCATCCCCTCCCCTTTCGACTCGATTAGAGCTCTCTTGAATGTATCCACAAACCTTTCTGCTTGGCCGTTTGATTGTGGGCGGTAAGCGGAAATGATACACACAATTGTTTTTGTGTATGAAGCTGTTTTTTTATTACTCTGGGGGCCTGTTCTTCGATAATTGTGTTTGGATCTTTTTAATTTTACGTAGATCTAGACAATCATTTAGAGTTGATAAGTTTGACTCGGTCTTGGTAGGAAAACTGAATTTTCTTACATCTAACTATTACAGTTTTTTATATCTGTACTTATATCGTTATTAGTAGTCCGTGTTATATTTTGCCCTAATTGTTTTTATTTTTACCATCGTAGGAGGAAATCCCGGTCGATGTACCTACGATGGGACGTTCTCTTTCAAAAGCGGAACAAGCCAAAGCACGTAAAAAGGCTCGTCTAGCCAAACGTTTAAAACGAATTCGTCAGAAGGCAGAAGGTATATCTGATGAAATACCAGAAACTGAAAAGTGGCAACAAATAAAACAGTAAGTGCTGGTATAAAAAATGCGTTGTTAGTTTTGGGTTGAGTTGTTAGTACTTGAATATAGTTTAATAGTAGGGCAATTATACATCTTTGGAAATAGCATCTACTTCGTGTTTGTTTTGAGGGTTTTAATTATTCACTTTCTAGATGAATGTGTAACAGAACCTTTAGCGGCTACTACAGAACTCCAAACTAGTTGTATAAACATTCGATCCTCAACAACTGGGTCGCACGTCCGAATCCTGCCTCACATTCTGTCATTTGGACAGAATGTGACAGATCCTAAAAATGAATTAAAACCAGCTACATTAATCTGTTCTTAATTGCTGAGTTGCATGGATTTTCAGCTACTTAATATCACTATTTTCATCCAGTGTATATTTTGGTATATGCTTAGCAGTGCAATCTAGAACATGTGTTTCGTCCCGTTTAGTAGTCGTTATCTGAGTGCACTTTCACCTCGGCGTTGAACCCATAACCTTGAACTTCAAGCTTCCAACGCGTTATACAAACGAATAACTCGTTCATCAGATATGAACAGGAAATTGCAAACCCTTAGTAACAGTGTACCTTTGTTTTAGATAATTGCATAACATATTAGTTCATTTAAAAAGCATCCAACTGTTACATCTTACGCATTGGAATCCTTATTCAGCTTGTTTATACAAAGATTGTCTGTAAGCATATTTGTTACACCGTATTCGAACATAGGCTGTTGATATATGTGGACAAATCAGTACCTTTGATAAATTTTAACATCTTTAACCCATAAGTTGCTCATCAATAAATTTAATTCACTGTGTTAGTGTGTGACCATTTAGTTATCATTTTCATTTCTACACTTAGACTTTATAAGAAAGCTGGCCTGTTGAAAAAGAAGCGTCGCCCTCTTCATGTAATTGTAAATACAAAAGCTGGTTCGCGTAGCGGGGGAACTAAACCTCAAAAAGGGGCTAAAGTCAAAATTGTAGATAAAAGAATGAAAGCAGATTTACGTGGACAGCAAAAAGCTAAAGATGGAAAAAAACATGGAAAGCGTAAGAATAAAGTTGGGCGTCCTGGAAGGCCAAAAAGTCGAGGATTCGGAAAGAGACGTTAACTGTTCTGTTCCGTTTATTGAGATCTGTATATACAAATCATTTGATTATATTGATTTTTGTAAAATATGCTTATTCTTCTTTCTCATCTACTTGCTGAGTACAATATACAGTCATTTAGTATGCAGATAACTTTCTTAACTACTACAATATTTTCCATGTAGGCAACTAATTCAAAAATGAAGAATATTTGAGCAAACAATTGTTCTCAATAACTTCATCATCAGGCTTTACAGTTAAGTCCATAATTATGATATTTTGCAAAAGCCAAAATAAGACATGTATTTATGAATTTGACAATGTTATATGTTAAAAATGGTGAACGTTTGCATCTGTTACGACATATATACTTCGAAGTTGTGTTATTTGTATATTAGCAAGGTCATTTAATAAAGGTCCGAATGAGTTGAAGTGTCAAGTCATAATAATAATATTCAGTTTAGGTATCAGGTGGTCCATTAGTAGGCCACGGTAAACATAAAGGCTGTTTATATCTTTTCTGGTTACATAAGTTCGGTTCTATGGAGTTGATCCAGATGGCTTCAGCTGTGTAGAGTAGCCGTAATCTAGCTGCTTGATGTAGATCCTTCGGAATTTTATATGAAACCGAAAAAGCTCCCTCTATTTCGATGTGATGTTCACTATCTACCAAATGAGAAAGAACAGTACTGTTGATCTATTTAGTAACTCATTTTCCTAACCGTTCTGGCACATGTTCATGAACACGCAAGGATAAAGCCTTCTGAGTACGGCCAATGTAACTAGCTCCACAGGAGCAGTCGAATTGGTATACACACATGGAGGAGCCCATCATCGTTAACCTGTCCTTGATTTATTGTGTAAGTACTGGTTTAGTTGAGAAAGTTATATTTAACCATTTTTAACATATAACATTGTCAAATTCATTATTACATGCTTTATTTTGGCCTTTGTAAAATATCATGATAATTGTAAACTTGTAACTTATTCAGTTCAAAATTGTTAGTGTAAAATACGCACGATGAGACTCCTGCTTATATGAGGGTTTAATATACAGGGATTTGTTTCTTAGGTGTTCAATCACCCACAATCAATTAGATTACGATTATAAGACCGAATCAACGGGATTCTCACAGCACAGTATTTTTGTGATAAAACGAGGGAATTTTAATTGCTTTGACAAGAAATGTACGGAGTTTCGAGGGTGATTAATTCACGTTTAGTTGTTTTTTAAGCTCTAGAACAGCCTGGTCGCATTTGGATATGATACATTACCATAATTACAGGATTGATTAATAGTAATTTTCTCGATAAAATGTGTAAATTTTTCTAGAACCAATTTCTTATCAGTGATTGTATATATTACCTAAAATGAGTGCTTTGAAAGCTTTTCGTAACTGATTATCTAACTCGAAAGTTTCATGTTGAATGCAAGAAATGGGAAGTCAGACTTTCATATGTGTGTTGGAATTGATGATATGCTTCAACCATTTTCAATGGAACATTTTTCCAATTGTGTTTCTTTAGTAGGTGTTAAGAGTATGATCCTATTACCTTTATAATTTTCCTGTAAATGGTAAATTCATGCCGAAACATTTATTGCAAATCTTATCACGGTGACTTGACTTCATAGTCAATCTCATTATTTTGTTTATCTGCTTTACAAGTAAGGAAATTGTATATTTCTAACTTGAGTTACGGATCTACTCGACACTAATCGCCCCCGCCCCCGCAGTTGAATAGTTCAGTAGAAAGCTATGGAGGAAACATGTATTTTAAATAAAGTGTAGATTATGTTTATGATTTTTATTGTTAATTGTTTACCTTAATTTCCACATCGAGGTGAAAGGACTTGTCAAGCCTATGGCTTAAATGACTTAATATTTATTCAAACCTCATAATATAAATTCAGGTGGGGAGTTCATAGTTTTGCTTTCAAGAAACAAGCTTAATCACATGTCGAATCTCTTATGGCAATCACATTTTGACTAGTAAAATCCAGTTACCGTGAGGGATATGACTTCATGTATCAAATGAAGACAATTGTTGAGTTTATCTTATTGTAACCAATTTTCATTGAGGTCAGTTTATTGTGTACTACGTCTCATGTACTCTGATAACTTTTTTCATATACTCTTCACTGACTAAAAAAGCTGGTTGCTTGACCTAGTAAAGTTAGTGAAAGCTACTAGTTAATTGCCTGCACGGTTAAAATTCAACCAACCTCAGATTTGTTTAATATCAGTTTAATCACTCGTCTTTGAGACTAATTTTTGGCATATGTATGCTGATGAACATTCCACTATAAGTTCTAGTTTCATTTAGTCATTCTTATCCAATTCAGGTAGTAAACTAAGGCAGCGTTTGTGCGTAGTTGTCTATTTAACATAGCACATTTTACTAAAAAGGAATTGAGTGTATTTTATTGGAAACAAACAGTACAATACAATGAAATATTCAACTTCTCGGGGCATTGCATAATCCGAGGAAAGTATATTTGGCTCCCATTGAGTAATGGCCAACTGAAATAATAAAACAGTAATTGTCGAAAAGTGATTAAAAGACATGGATATAATTTCATTAATAATATTAATGGTGGTGGAATTTATTTCATATAGCTAGGTTTATTTATGGTTAAGGATAAGGTTGGTAGTTCCTGTTGGATTCTCAGAGCATGGATGGTTGGTTTCAAATATATTAACTTTACTATCATCTTGGGAAACTTCGAGGTGCATACTCACGTATGAAGTCATGCCTTTCATTTACTTGTTACGTAAAAACAAAATAGAAATTATGAATCGAAATCATCAAGAGTAGTTGATTCGGATGGTTATAGCTTAATGATAAATAGACCTGTTGGACAGGAAATGTAACTAGATTTTTAGCTATATTTATCTTGATATAAAGCTTTGAGACTTTATGAGCTTATATCTTCCAATATAAAGTTGTGCCAAAGCAAAATGGTAGATAAAACGTGCTCAGTATGATATTTCTACAGGCAGTTTAAATTTCAGTGGTTACTGCTTATTATCTTTTATCAGAAGGGGTTTGTGGAGATTTTTAGAAATTTCACAGATTGAAATCATAAGTCAATTGAAGCTAGACCATTATGGAAAGCCTGGAAGCACTGGACGGCCGTCCAGTGCTTCAATTGACTCATGATTTCAATCTATTATCTTTTTGTAACGGTTAAAAGCTTCGATTTCACCGAAATCTAGAAAACATAGTTTGGTATCTATTGTCATTATTTAAGCGAAATGAACGAATTGACTGTTTCTGCGTCAGTTATCTTCTGCAAAAGGTACATCAAAAGCCGATGTATTTTAATGTCAAAGTGTATACTAATCGTTCCTAAATTCAAGCTCACCTATTCAAAAAATGTAGGTGGTGACGAATTCACCAAGTTACGGCGGAAACATTCAGCTCACATGGCAAGGAGATGTATTATCAGAATTCATATTGCTGCTGATTGTCATGGCAGGAATGAAAGTGTTCTTTGCTCATTGAGTGTTAATTAGATTTAATTAGCATGGGCTGGTTTTTCGAGAAAGAACTTCTTACAAAATTAAGTTACAAGTTGGATGTTTAGCAAGAACTTAGCGAACTGTTAGAAATAATCTCAACTAATGGAGGAGTTATTGAGGGCACGTCGATGTCAGCCTTATCAACTGTGGATTTCAATGGGCGTACTGGTAATAGGCTCGATAGTACTGTTTTTTAAACATTGATCACACTAACAACATGTTGGCCTTTCTGTTGATAACTTGGCATAAGATGTTATAGCATAGTAGCATTGTGAACAGCTATTGTTGACGCGCTTGTCGGTAAAAGGTGTCTGAGCTTCCAGACTATTTTCTGTGAAGCTCTTTCAACATTTTTTTTCATTAAAACTACTGAGACTGCAACATTCAGATGATAGAAAAATCCCAAACCACTTATTTTTCAGGGATAGTGAACGAAGACGTGATGGGGATGACCAATTTATTGTTTAATGCAAAATTACGAAATGCCTTCGTAAAATATGAAAACTATATATTAAAATACATCATTTGCACATTTTCATTGAGTTGTTCTTCTGTAGTGTAAGCTAATTATATAAACAGACACGAGTAGTATGTAACACCAATCGGAAGTGGAAAAACTAGCAGCAGAAGGCTAAGAAGATCGAGTTGAAGAGAATAAAAAGGGAAACAGAAAGAAATTAAAAACTGGAAGAATAGAGTGTAAAGGACAAATGATGGAAGTGAAGTATACAATGTATGGTTCCCATATTTTACCAAGATATTTTGTAGTTTTGTAATAAACAATAAATTGGTTGTCCCTCACTCGAGTCTTCATTCATTACACTTCCTGTTCTCTTTAATTCAATCTTCTACTGGTAGGCATTCCACTTCCGATTACTGTTAAATTCTATTTATATCTGTGAGCATAATTTGCACACCCCACATGAGTATTACTAATCTTCTTTACTGCTTCTGAATATCATTGTGTGAACAGAATAGATCAAGTTTCAAGATAAATACGTTAGCTGTTCGAAATATTTAACTACCAGTATTTTAATGGATGAGGTTTGAGAGCTAACTGTATTGCTAAAATTTCCTTTTGGATGTAATGACGACAAATTTAACAAATTTTAAATGATAACATAAATTGTTACGGATAATTTTCCGACCCCTATGAATTTACATATTTCGAATATACAATACTAAATATCTGACTTAAATGCAAACTGGAAGCTGATAAAATCCTTTCTGTACTTTGTAGCAAGATATATCCATTGACTTAGTTCACCTTCAGACTACACTCTTCCAATGATCACATTTCATTATTTCTTACGAATAATAAGTTTTGATAACTAATAAACAACGAAGCTACATTCAAATGCATCTATTCTATTTGATCTAAACTTTCTTTTAACCATTGCTTAAGGTAACATATGTTTTAGCTTTAATTTAAAACTCTTTCATTGGAAATACACTACAAAAATATATAAATGTATAATAATACACATATAGGAATATAT